ACATGCACACGAATGTTCATTGCAGCACTGTTTACAATAGCAAAGACCTGGAATCAACCCATTGATGATAGACTGGATGGGGAAAATGTGGCACATATACACCATGGAATATTATGCAGCAATCAGAAATGATGAGTTCGTGTCATTTGTAGGGACGTGGATGAATCTGGAGAACATCATTCTCAGCAATCTGACACAAGAAAAGAAAATGAAATACCGCATATTCTCTCACTCATAGACAGGTGATGAAAAATGAGAACACATGGACACAGGGAGGGGAGTACTAAACACTGGGGTCTATTGTGGGGAAAAGGGGAGGGCCAGTGGGAGGGGGAGGTGCGGAGGGATAGCCTGGGGAGAAATGCCAAATGTGGGTGACCGGGAGAAAGGAAGCAAAACACACTGCCATGTGTGTACTTATGCAACTGTCTTGCATGTTCTGCACATGTACCCCAAAACCTAAAATACAATAAAAAATTTAAAAAAAAAAAAAACAAAAACTACTAACTACTATCGAAACTACTAACAGAAACCAGCTTTGGTGTGCTAATGGTTAAGTTCTAGTAGTTTCCTTGTAAGGATATTTTTGTACCCACCCTCACAGGTTTGTATCAAAAACTACTGACGACTATCAAACTACTAGAATGCAATATTATGTATATTAAAATTAAATCAAATTGAATAACCATTAAATGAAAAACAACATATTTCTATTTAAAACCTATTATATATTGTATATTGTTTATTTACATACAATTTATATATTATATATTATTTATATATTCAAAAAGGACCTTTAATGTATATATCAGGAAGCTAATAATAACTATGCAAGGGATGATGAACAAAACTACTAACACTGTAATCAAGAAAGGAAACCATTCACCTAGGCATTTCCTTGATAGTTCTTTTCTTTTTACCTCATATCTAATTCATCAGAAAATACAATTAATCTACTTTCTAAAAATCTCTTGAATTCATCCATATCTCTCCATATCTACTAGCAATCCTTGACCCAAACTATCATTATCACTTGTCTGAAATCCTAGACTAGCCTAGTAATTGTTTTTGAATTTATTCTTACCCCTCATCCACTGTCCACACTTAAGCCAGAATAATCTTTCAAAACGTAAATCTGATCGTCTTACTCCAAGTTATCCCACCCTTCACCTTGAACACGTCCACACATAACACGCTCCATTCAGCCCACTGTTTAAAAGGTCAAGTAGATCCTAAATAACATGGCTTCTATCTACTTCTCCTTTCTTACTTCACCCTATGTTCTAGCCACTCTGGACTTCTTTCAGGTCTTTGAGAGAGCTATGTTCCTTTAAAATAGATTTTGCATACAGTATTTACTCTGTCTGGAACACCTGCTGATGAATTAGAAAAGGGAGGTCAAGGGGCTCAGATGATTTTTAAGTTTCTAGCTAGCACAACTAGATGGCTAGTACAGTCATTTAAAGAAATTGTTTTAATGCTAAATTTTTTTTTTTTGTAGTGGCACAATCATAGCTCACTGGAGCCTCAACATCCTGGGGTCAAGACATCCTCCCACCTCAGCCTCCCAAGTTGCTGGGACTACAGGTGCCCACCACCACATGTGGTTGAACTTTTGAATTTTTATTTTTAGTAGAGACAGGCTCTCACTGTGTTGCCCAAGCTGGTCTCTTTTTTTTTTCTTTCATTTTTTTTTTTAAGAGAAGGAAAGAAAAAAAAGGAGTGAAGGAGAGGAAGAAAGAGGAAGGAAAAGAGGGAGAGAGAACGGAAATGTTGCTTTATTCTAAAAAAATGGGTATTAATAATGGCCAATCAGTATTTCATTTAAACCTATGAGTAGGTGTGATGTGGTATTGACAATAATATATATTTTGTGTATTTAAAGTGGAGAGCTCTATAAATATTTATTAAGTTTACTTGTTCCGCATCTGAGTTCGAGTCCTTGATATCCTTATTAATTTTCTGTCTCATGGACTCTAAGACTCTATTTATCTGGGTGTTAGGATCGTTAGCTCTTATTGTTGCATTGATCCTTTTACCACTATATCTTTGTTGCTTTAAAATCTATTTTATCAGATATGAGAATTGCAACTCCTGCTTTTTATTTATTGATTGATTTATTTTTGCTCTCCATTTGGTTGGTAAATCTTTCTCCATCCCTTTGTTTTGAGTCTCTGTGTATCCTTGCATGTGAAACAGGTCTGGATGTAACGTGCTGTCGGGTTTTGGCTGTATCTTTTGATCGGGGGATTTAGTCGATTTAAATTTAGGATTACTGCCATTTGATGTTAACTGGCTGTTTTATCCATTCATTGATGTAAATTCTTCTTTATGTTGATGCTCTTTACTTTTTGGTATATTTTTAGAAAGGCTAATACTGGTTGTTTCTTTCTGTGTGTAATGCTTCTTTCAAAGCTCTAGGAAAGCAGGCCTGGTGGTAATAAAATCTCTGAGTACTTGCTTGTTCATAAAAGATTTTATTTTCCTTCAGTTGTGAAGCTTAGTTTGGCTGGATATGAAATTCTGTGCTGAATGTTCTGTTCTTTAAGGATGTTGAATATTGGCCCCCACTCTCTTCTGGCTTGTAGAGTTTCTGCTGAGAGATCTGCTGTAAGTCTGATAGGCTTGCCTTTGTGGTTAACCTGACCTTTCTCTCTGGCTGCCCTTAGTATTTTCTCCTTTGTTTCAACCCTGGTGAATCTAACGATTATGTGCCTTGGGGTTGCTCTTCTTGAGGAATATCTTTGTGGTGTTCTCTGTATTACCTGGGGTTGAATATTGTTCTGCTTTGCTAGGTTACGAAAATTTTCCTGAATAATGTCCTGAAGAATATTTTCCAGCTTGGATTCATTCTCTCTGTCGCATTCAGGTACACCTATCAAACGTAAATTTGGTCTTTTCACATAGTCCCACATTTCTTGTAGACTTTGCTCATTCCTTTTTATCCTTTGTTCTCTAATCTTGTCTTCTGGTTTTATTTCATCAAGTTGGTCTTCGACCTCTGATATCCTTTCTTCTGCTTGATCAATTCAAGTGTTTAAACCTGTGCATACTTCTCGGAGTTCCCGTATTGTATTCTTCAGTTCCATTAATTCACTTATATTCCTCTTTTTTTTTTTTTTTTTTTGCCAATCAGTTTGAGCTTATAAGGTTGCTCAAGTTAGCCTTGAACTCATGACCTCGCCTTTGCAAGCACCACGACCTCTGGCGGGAGCCACTTTGGACCCGGTATTCCTCTCTAAATTGTCTATTCTCATTAGGATTTCGTCAAACCTTTTTTCAAAGTTCTTAGTTTCTTTACATTGGGCTACCACATGTTCTTTTAACTCACAGAAGTTTCTTATTATCCATCTTCTGAAGCCTGATTCTGTTATTGGATGCACTCGTTCTCCATCAAGCCTTGTTCCCTTGTTGATGAGGAACTGTGATCCTCTTTAGAGGGAGAGGCATTCTGATTTTGAGTATTCTCAGCCTTTTTACACTGGTTTCTTCCAGTTGTAAATTTATCCACCTGTCATCTTTGTAATTACCAACTTTCAAATTAGGTCTCTGAATAGACATCCAAGTTGTTAATTCCCAGGGCCAAAATATGAGCAACCCACTGCGCCGGCCAAAACAGCGGCATTAAGACTGATGGTGCTTTTCTGCCCTGGAATCTCCAGTCTGGCTTCCTTCTTGAGTCCGTAATAGGCGACTCTGCCTCCCCGGAGCTCCAAACGTCGGTCAGAAGGGGAACCAGTCCCGTTTACTCTGCACAAAGAGCTGCCGCGCCGAGGTGCCGGCAAAACTACTGCGCCGGCCACAAGAGTCCCGCTGGTGACCCGTGGGGCTCCTCCACTGGGAATCTTCTGCTCCATGAGCAACAAAAATTTGTCTGAAAGTGTGGCGTCCTCTTGTTCTCTGCGCTTTCACTGGGAGCTGCAATCCTGAGATGTTAGCGATCAGCCATCTTGGATCGTTCCGTTTTAATGCTAAATTACCCTCTGCCATTGACTCCTCACTATTATTCCCAAACACTTCGAGATAAGAGTTCTTGCACTACTGTTCTTTAGGCCTAAAATGAACATTTAATTGAACTTCTTTGCATAAATGATGACTCACTGATATTTTAATCTCCGAATGCCACTTCAAAAGCAAACACTGTTTCCTACTCTGTCATTCTGTCTTCCTTGTCTGCATTGCATGATCACTGATATTCTTGTTTACATGTTTATTGGATATCTCTTCTAATCAAAATATAACTCTCTGAGAGCAAGGACTATCCATCTTGTTCACTGTCATATTCCCACTGCTGAAGCATAATCAATCTTTGAGAAATACTAAAGGAATGAATGAATAATTAATTCAGAGCCAGCATTCTCTACCTGCCACATTTAAATATAGCAATAGATCACAGGAACAGAAAATGAGGCAACTTAATACGTTATGAACTTTTTTTTTCAAAAAGTAACAGTAGATCTGTGAACCAAATCAGTGTTTATAATATTAATAGGAACTATAGAAGGCAAAATGGTATAGTGGCTAAGAACATGGGCTCTAGAGTCAGACCATCTGGGTTTCAATCTAACTTCCACTTCTTATTGTATGGCATTATGCTGGTTACCTAGCCTCTCTGAGGTTCAATTTCCCAGACTATAAGGTAAACATCATCATCATCATCATCATCATCATCATCATCATCATAGTACCTACCTTTTTAGGGTTGTAGTGAGGATGAAATAAGAGAGTATGTATAAAGTATACAAAATAATGTCTGACTCATAGAATAATCAACAGACATTAGCTGCTGTTTTCTTATTGCAAAGGGCATCTATAAAAGTAGCTCAGTGGAAGAAAATGTGACAATTTGAAGGAGCTACTTCTATATCTTTGAAGGACATATATAGCTTCAAGTGAGTGACTGCAAAGACACACATATGCGGATGTTAAAGCAGTAAAACACTGAATAGCAGATAGATAATCAGCTCTAAATAACAACTTCTCTTGGGCTTCTTACATACCGAGTGGGTACGGAGTGCTGCGATGGTTTTTGAAAGTGCCATTTCCCACAGTTCATCAATGTAGGCTCTATTAACTAAGCCCTGCGTTGTATGTAAAATGTGATCTTCAACCACAAAAAAGCTAAGATTGAGGAAAAAAGAAAGCACAGCTGTCAGAATTTACAGTTATATTACTATCTCTGGGGTTTTAAAAGCATTAAGAGATAACAAATGCAAAGTTAGTAGTCATTGTTTTCTTGAAATGACTACTAACTACTAACTAAATGAAGAAAGTTATTTGGTTATCTGAATATCATAAATGAAATCAGACTACTTGGACTAAAAATTATGTCTGTGATTATGATATCTTCTTAACTACTCCTAGAGATATTAAGAGTTACATTTGTATTACATTTCTATTAAATGTTAACAATGATATCCAGTAGTTTAAAAGAGGAAAATGTGTAGAGGTAACAGAGGCAAATTTTGTTATATAAGAAAACACCAAGCCATCAATATATTTCCATAAAAGCTAATATATGTTATATACATCATATATGTTATGTATTATTTATATATATATTTTTTAAGAATCCAATGCACAAAATATCAAAATAATTCCCTCATGCAAACTCTCTCATCAAAGTGTTGAAAAGGCATCATATAAAGGTTTCAAAAATGCAAAGTTATTTTTCAACGATCTTGTTGTTGCTTCTTATTATTATGCATTTAAAATGTACCTTTCATTGTCTTGCCTAAATGTCCATATTAATGAAAAAAACTTCTTTATTAGAAAATTTTTATGATAAATTTTAATAACTACTAATTATATTGAAACAAATCTGAAATAAAACAAACCTGATGATGAATCCAAGTTATTTCCTTTTCTGTTTACTGCAAAGTCATTATTTTGGAATTTGACCAAGCTGCCTATATTGGGGTGTTTATTTGGGAAATGCAATTCCATACCACTATATACACTCTAGATGAGGGTGGCAAACTGTATTAGCCCGTGGGATAAACCTAGCCCACTGCCTGTTTTTATAAAGATTGTTTTATTGGAACATAGCCATGCTCATCATTTATGTATTGTCTATAGCTACTTTTACACTACAACAACAGAGCTAAACAGTTGTGACAGAGACCATACAGCCTACTAAGCCTAAAATATTTTACTATCTGGCCCTTTTGGAAAAAGTTTGCCAACTTTTGATGATTATTTGGTTCCATCTACCAAAAAGAAAGAAACAAAACATAAAGTATAATAAGATTACAATTCAATGTTTTTCTCACTTTATCCACAAAGTGCCCTACAACAATATAATATTGAAACCAGCAGAATGTTCCTTTTAAATCATTAGAAAATCAAAAACAAACCTTAAGAATTTAAAAAAAGAAAACAAATTTTAAAAAAAGAAAAAAAGAATTTCCCAAGGAAAACCTGATTTATTTTTCCAACTCTCACAACTTTCTATGTATTGAAAGTGTATAAATTTAAGTAAATAAATATATATATATATATACCTACCCTACAATTTGATTAAAATACTTCCTGTAGCCGTCTAACGTTTCATGCTGCAACAAAGCAAAGAAGAAAGTTATTGTTTCTGTTCTGTTACTTTAAAAAAAAGTTAAAATCAGTCACTTAATCTCTTAAGGCTCAGTTCCCTAGATGATATCTGATAAGGTAAAAATACTAATGTTATCTGCCAATGAAGCGGAAATGGGACAGCATATATCCAGTACTTAGAACACTGAGTGACACATAGCAATCAATCGATAATGTTTTCATACTACAAGTCGCATCCACCAAAAGTTATCTGAGAATGACAGTATACACACAAACACACAAGCATCAAAAGATACCAAGGAAAAGTAAAAATGTGAGAAAAGTGAAGATAGTAATCCTACCATGTTAGACGGAGGTTGAAGTACCAAACGAGCCTGTTTTCGCCTCTGTTTTCGGTAGTAATTCTCAAATGTTTCCCGGGCACCCTGTAAAATAAAGAAAACGGAAATGGTTTTGACACAATTGAACCAATTACTTTTATATTTCAAGGGAAAAGAGAAGGTCCCAGGTCTGGAATTTGGTAGTACCACATTTCTCAAAATCTCTATTTTAACAGTGATGATAATGATAGAAAATAAAAATAACTATTGCCATTTATTGAACCTTACTTACAAACCTGTAAGGGTGGGTATAAAATATCCTTACAAGGAAACTGCAAGAACTTAACCACCAGTACACCAAAGCTGGTATCTGAATCAACTATCTCAAACTCATAAGAATGAAGGGAAACCAACCTTTCCATAGGATGATAACAGGTAAGAAAACATTCCTTAAAAAACTCACAAAACATTCCAGAAGGAAAATGTCCAGAATAAAAACCAGCTTTCAAACGAATCATGAACAAAGAGGCAATGGGAAGCAGAAGAAAAGCAGGAACTGAGAACAGCATATTAGTATCCACCTTAGGGGATAATCTAGCACAGGATTAAACCCAAAAAAAACAAAAGCATGAAGATTCTTGGTACACAGTTCCTACTTTTCATTTATGGTATCTGGGCTTAAAATGAGAAGTTCTCTACAGAATCACATCTGACTCATGAGCTGTGTACTGGGTTGAAAAGTGGTCTCCCAAAATTCATATCCTTCATGGAACTTCAGAGTATAGTCATGTTTGGAAATAGGGCCACTGTAGATGTAATTAGTTAAATTAAGATGTGATCCTATTAGTGTAAGGGACCTTAATGCAGTATGTCTGGTGTCCTGAAAAGCCAAAATGAAAAGACAGAGATACACAGGGAGAACATCATGTGATGACAGAGGCAGAGAGTGATACAGCTGCAAGCCAGGGAACATCAGAGATTGCTGATCACTAGCAGGAGCTGAAGATTCTACCTAGTCTCAGGGAGAACATGGCCCTTCTGATGCCTTGATTTTGGAATTATAGCCTCCAAAACTGGGACAGAATACATTTCTGTTGTTTTAAGCCACTCAATTTATGGTGCTTTGTTACAGCAGCTCTAGGAAACTAATACAAACTCAATGTATTTAGATTATCATGCCCCATTTATTACTGAATTCTATTCTTAATCCAAAGCTTTTCTAAATAAACAAGAGTAAAAATGGAAAGACAGTATACCACAGTGGTAAAGAGCATTGATTTTGGAACCAGAGGTTATTACATATGAATCGTGATTCTGTCTCTTACTAGCTATACAACTGCTATAAATAGCTGTATAACTTCCTTCTACTAATTTAAGTTCCACTATTTAACTTTCACTAATAGGTGTGCCATGGTTTTCTCATTTGTAGAGATGCCAACATCATATGGTTGTAATGAGGATTTAGAGGAGTTATAAAGCTCTTAGAACACTATCTCATGCAAGTGCTTATTTTAAAAATAAATAAGATAAAATCAATGATTAAATTAAAAGCCCCATCCTCCTAAAAAAAAAAAAAAAGTATAAATGCCATGGAATACCTAGTTTAGTTTTCCTCTGCCTTCCTGAAAAATAAAGAACTTTATTCAAGATTTGTTAGATTCCCCAACTGGTCCTAAAAAATTAGGAAAGTTGACTTAAGGTACTAAGTCATGTAAAGACACTAGTGTAGCTCAGGGGTTGGCAAACATTTTCTGTAAAGGATAGGATAGTAAATATACGAGGGCTTGATGGGCAGCTACTCAATTCTGCTGCTGTAGTGCAAAAGCAGACATAAACAAGTATGGCTGTATTCCAATAAAATCTTGTTTATGGAAACAAATTATAATTTTTCACAGTTTTCACCTGTCGTGAAATATTCCTTTTCTTTTCATCTTAAAAATTTAAAAACCATTTTTAGTTCATAGGCCCTACAGAAACAGGCAGCAGGCTGGATTTGGTCCATGGGTCATGGTTTATTGAATCTTGGTATAGCTTAAAAACAACAGTTTTAAAGTTCTAAAGTGATTATAACTGTATCCAAGTTTTTTTACCTCTAAAATGAAATCAAACATTAAGAAAGCTATTTCAAGGCTTTTTTCATCCATACATTAATGAGAAAGCAAATGATTCCATTTAAGAAATAAGAGGAAACTGCTAGTTGGTTTGTTAAAGTTATTCTCAACTTGTCACCATTTCACAGCATAGTAGCATTATTAAATGTTAATTCATTCTGTATTCACTAAAGGGCTTTTCATTTTAAGGTTAACAGCCCTAAAGGACCTTTATTATTGTAGTGTGACATTACATATTCAACAGACTTTGGAGCCAAGATACACTTACCTGAGAATTTAGGGAAAGCATTCTCTCTAATTACACCATATAGTAATTTAATTTTTTGTTATAAATGATAGAAACTATATAAGATGAAATTCCATATAAAAACCAAATCAGGAACTTCTCTTTAATTCTGAACTGGATATAGTTTTGCCTTTCAAGTATTCCTTTAATAGAATAAAAACAAGAGAAAAGAGCAATTTATCTAATAGGTCTGGCTTCCCATTAACAAAAATGAGCTGGAGTTTCCTTAGCAGCTGCTAAATTCACCTTTGGTTATTCTGTTCCCTCTGCCAATTTTGTTAACTTAATAGTTAAAGGTGGAATTTGAGACATAGATGTTTGACCAGTCAAGTTGAGTAATGGGTGAAGTCCCTGTCTATTCAGAGAAGTCACTAGATGAAGTATAGAAGTTTCACTTAAGCGCCAAGCTCTTTGAATCATTAACATTAAAAAAAAACTGCTGAAGACATAAGCAAATAGATATAAAACAATAAGCAAGCAAGTAAAAGTTGGATTTTTTCCTACTTTATGTCATAAGTAATACACTGCTCCAAAAGTTTTATGTTAATATACACAATCTCACAAAAACCAAGTCGCTTAATATATACTAAGTGCTTACCATGTGATAGGCACACTGTACTCACTGAATTTATAGCCTACTATGGAAGACTGACAATTAAACAAGCAATTATATTAAAATGAACTACAAAATCCTATGGATTAAAGTAGGGTGTGTGTGTGTGTGTGTATGTGTGTGTGTGTGTTGGGGGGGGAGTGTCAGAGACATTTATACTTCTAATTGAAGAATGAGTCAGAAGAATAAGCCAGAAAGAGAGAAAGAAGGGAAAAAATGTTCCTGGTGGAGACAAAGAGGCTCAATGGAAAAAAGGGCATCATATATCCGAAGAATCTGAAAGAAGTTCTTGATGGCTGAACTTGAGGTATAAGGTAGAGGACTGACAAGAGATGAGACAGGAAGGCTTCATAAATTATGTTAAGGTATTTGTACTCTAGTGACCATAAGAGTTTTAGATATTTTGGAAGTTGTACCTCAGAGAGTAGAATAAAGAAAGGGAAAATTAAAATTCAAAAGATCAGTTAGAATCTGAGATGTATTTGGGAGGTTTATGCTAGAAATTAATTGGACATGGGTGATAAAGAATAAGAAGGAAAGAAGGCTGATACAAAATTTCTAACCTGGGTAACTGGTTTGATGGTGGTCTCATTTGTGAGACAGGGAACATAACTAGATGGAATAAACAGTAGATCATTATTCACAGATTCTGTATTTGCATATTTGTCTACTTGCTAAAATTCATTTGTAAACCAAAAAGGAATACTCATAGTTCTTTCATGGTCATTCAACAGACACATGAAGAGGGGTGAAAAATTTGAGTTGCCTAATGCATGTTTCTAGCTAAGGTTTAAACAAGGCAATGCTCTGCTTTCTTATTCTAGTTTTCATGCTGTAAATGGGTATCATTGTCATAATCAGTGACACATTGTTCTGCATTTTTGCACGTTTGGTTGCTCATTTTGCTGCTTAAAATGGTCTCCAACCATAGTACTGACATGCTGTCTAGCATTTCTAAGCTCAAGAAAACTGTGATGGGCCTTACAGAGAAAACCCACATGGTAGATAAACTTCTCTCAGGCATGAGTATAGTGCTGTCGGCTATGAGTTCAATGTTAATGAATTGATATGCTAAATAACATATCCTTAAACAGAAACACACATAAATAAAGATTAAGCATTCACTGGTTGATGAAAATGTGACCAGAAGTTCACAGAAAACTATTCCTGTATTTCCCCTAAAAGCAATAGCTCAGTATTCACTCACTCAGTGTTTCCAGTGACTTTATAGAACATAACTACCATGAAAAATGAGAACCGACCACATTTGGGAAGATTGATAATGATGACTAACGTACTAGGCATATTTAATTGATGACCTCCAAGAAGTGCTCGGGAACTGGCATATTTGGGTCTATAGATCAAGAGAATCATAATCATTAGCAGAGAGATAGTAACCAAGGCCTTTAGAGAAAGGGCTCTAAGAAATGCATGTAGAATTAAAATACAAAAGAATCTAGCACAAAACTCCAAAGGACATGAGCCATCAGGAAATGTGTGGCTCTTTCTTATAACTCAAATATCACTTTGAACATCAACTACTTAGAAAAGACTTTTCTACTACTTAACTAAAAATGGAAATTTTGCCTAACACATAACCCTTTAATTCTTTGGTTAGCACATGTCTCCATGTAATATTGTTTACTGTCTGACTTCTTTTGTTAGGATGCAAGCTCCATGAGAAAAAGTCTCAGTTCATCTTGTTTATTGTTGTGTTTGTTCCCAGCTCCTACAACAATGCTAGACATTAACTGCTATGCAATTTTGAATAAATAATTAAATGTGTGAATAATTATTAATCTATAATTTCTTATAAGCCTCCACTTTGATATTTGCCCTTAATCTCCTACTGCAATAATCATTTATATGTAAGTATTCCTACTTTTTTCATATAATTTTTTGATCTCCATTTATTCTTTTAAAGTTTTTTGTTCCTGTTTTATAGAAGTAATTCTTTTTAAGAATTTTCTTTTGATTCCTACAGAAAATCATTTTTAGTGTCACGTTTCCTCTGGAATTTTAGGATGATGTTCTTTGACCCTTTCTATTCAATACATTTTCTCAGACATCATTTTGTTTTGTTGTGTTGTGTTTT